GCCTTAGCCACTTGAGCCACAGGCGCCGAGCCTCTCAAACTTTTTAAATGGAATCATTTACATATCTTGTTTTGTACTTTTTTCCATTTTTATTATGAAACATTTTATATGCATAAATTTATGACATAAATTTTTTAAACTCTGACTTCCCACCTTTGTGGTCCTAGACTTTGTGCCCCCAGAATAGCTGTTAAAACTAAAGTGCTAAGTCACAGCAGGATGCTCCATTTACAGAGGCTGTCTTCATAGCACTGGATATCTGCTCTTGGTTTGATTTTGGCCTTAGTTTCTGCACAGCTCAGTCTACATTTGTATTAGTTTTCTAGATTGCTGTAATAAATTACCACAAACTGAGTGGCTTAAAAGAAACAGGCTTTTATTCTCTCACAGTTCTGAAGGCTAGAAATCCTAAATTGAGGTGTAAGTGGGGCCATGACCTCTCTGAAAGGTCACAGGGAGAATCTATTCCATGCCTTTCTCTAAGCTTCTGGTGGTGCCAGCAGTCCTTATTGTTGCTCAGCTTGTAGACTCATCACTGCAGTCTCTGCCTCTGATATCAAGTAGTGTTGTAGTGTTTTCCCATGTATGTCTCTGCTTGTGTCTTATCTCTTCTTAGAAAGGACAGAGGCCATATTTGATGAGGGCCCACCCTAATAACCTCATTTTAAATTGATTATATCTGCAAAGGCCCTGTTTGCAAATAAGGTTGTATTCACAGATACTTGGGGTTAGGACTTCAGATATTTTTCAGGCACACAATTCAAGGCATAATAGTATTTGAAAAGATTTTTCTCCACCCACAGTATTTCTTAGCGTTTGTGGTGGAAGTGATTTCTAGCTCAACGTATTGCTTGAAACAGGAGCATTTTGCTTTGTTCACAGAACAAGTCTTGGAGATCTTTCCATATTGGTATATAAAGGGTAACAGGTGTCTTTGTTTTTGTTTTAACAAAGCTTACTATTTCACTATATAAATTATTAAAATGGCTCATTAGTCCGCTCCTGATGGTCATTTTGGTTGTTTCTAATACTTTGCTACTGTGAACAGTACTACAATAAAGAGCCTTCTTACAGGTGTGCTAGTATGTCTGTAGCGTTACTGAGTCAAAGGATAAATATACTTGTAATTTTGTTAGATATTGCCAAATTATTATTTTTTTTGTAGAGACAGAGTCTCACTTTATTGCCCTTGGTAGAGTGCTGTGGAGTCACACAGCTCACAGCAACCTCCAGCTTCTGGGCTTAGGGGATTCTATTGCCTCACCTTCCCAAGTAGCTGGGACCATGGGTGCCTACCACAATGCCCAGCTATTTTTTCTTGCAGTTTGGCCAAGGCCAGGTTTGAACCCACCACCCTCGGCATATGGGGCCGGCGCCCTACCCACTGAGCCACAGTTGCCGCCCCCTTGCCAAATTATTCTTCATAGGGGTTATAGCAGTTTATATTCCCACCAGAAATTTATGAGAGTTTCTGTTTTCACACATCCTTGTCAACAGTTTTATCAGTCTTTAGATTTTGTGTCTTTCTCTTACTGGTTTGTAGGAGCTTCGGGTCTATTAGAGAATTAGCCCCTTAGGATATTAGCTGTAAATATTTTCTCCTAGTTTTTCATTTGTGTCTTGATTTTTTGGGGGGATATTTAGCTATGCAAAATTTTCTTTTTAATAAATAGTGAAATGGTAAAAATAAGTAGTGAAATGTATCAATATTGGTTTTATAATCATTGTAAGCATGTAACCTTTCTTCGTGGTTTTGTATCATTGTTAAAAAGATTCTTCTCCCAGATTTTGAAATAATCATCCCATAGTTGCTTCTAATATTTATGGATTCATTTTTTTCAATTATTTAAATTTTTGATCCATATTAAGTTTATCTTGGTGTCAAGTATCAGGTATGGATCAGCTTTTTCAGCTGCCCATTTATTGAAAAGTCTCTTGTGTTTGGGAGATTTTGAATTATTCTTTCTTCTAAAAATACATCATTATATAAAGTGAATCCAGGTGGCAGCTGACTTTTTCTGTCCTTTCATTTTAATGCTTCTAATGGTGATTTGAGTAACTTAAGATACTTCCCTCCTTTTTTAAGTTGATGTTTTACTGTTAATATTGGGGCAACAGTGTTCTTTGCTGATAGTTTCAACATTGGCCTTTTGATCTGATAGCCATAGGAAACATTATTTACATCAAAAAGAAATCTATTTTGAGTTTTTAAAGAGGGTAAATGTTTATGTAGCTAAAATAGCACCGGTAGATATAATTTAAAATAATTAACATAGTTTGGCTAGTTTGTTTAGGGAAGGAGTTAGAAACAGGACTGGGAAATCTAGATTGGCACCAGTTAAGAAGGACCTTGAATGACATGTGTTAGTCCTTAGTTGGAGGGAAGGGAAGAACATGTATCATTAAATGTCACTGAACATTTGTGAGCTGGGTTAGAACCATGCTCTTAGGACATGTGTCTGATAGTATAAGGATGGATTGGGAGAGGCAGCCACTAGATAAAAGTAACCATTAGGGGACCACAGGAGAAGTAATGAAGCCCTGAGCTTGGTGATCTCAAGGAAAATAGAGAGGAGGAAATACTTGTCAGAGACACTGCAGAAGTCAAATCCATAGGCCTTGGGAATTGACCTTTTGACTGGATAGGCATTTGGTGCAAAGATGTTTGGTGCAAAGGATGCCTGTAGTGGTCATTCATTTTGCAAATACAAACAGAAAGCTTTACAAAAATCATAAAAACGGACCGATATTTCTTACTGTTGCAAATGTTGCATTTGCATAATGAACAAACAATAGAGTGCCTTAACAGTTGTTGTGATAACTGTACGCCTCCATTGGCACCTTTTGTTTCGGAGTGCTCCACAGTCAAGGGTTTAATGAAGGTAGGAGGGAAGGAATTTATTACATAAATTCAGAGTTAGCTTTTCTGTTAGCAACTTCGTGTATATATTTCTTTTGAAAAATGTAGGTTACTAACTTTATGTTCATTTAAGAATTAGCTATAAGATTCTAACCTTTCAGACTCTCCTTACTAGATTCCGATTTTAAGTATTCATAATGGCTTTATCATGATTTTTTTCCCCCCAAAACACAGTTCCCTGACCAGGCAACACAGCTAAAATGGAATGTTCAGTTCTGCCTGACGATCCCTCCCAGTGCACCACCAATTGCACCTCCTGGGACGCCTGCTGTAGTGCTGAAATCCAAAATGCTATTTTTTGTAAGTATCACCCAGTATCCATGTACATACAGAGCTTCTGAGGAAAAGGCCATGTGAAGATAATAGAGCAACTTTTGAATGACTGTATAAATTATTGCTGCAAAATATGGGCCAGGATTCTTTAATTTTCAGTTTGGACTTCTTGGGATCCTGTTCCTTTAGTAATAACAACTTTATTGAACTAGCTAACTATTTGGCACAATTGCATCTTAACCGTAATATTCCATTTTTGTCACATTTCTTCTCATGTTTAATTTTCTTTTGTTTACTGTTTTTTAATCTGAAAGTATAGTAAATGATAGTACCTTTTTAAGTTATAGATGTTTTATTTTCTTATGTTCTTATGTTTTTTTTCTCTTTGTGTGTGTTGTGTGTCTCCAGCTTCAGCTAACTCAGAAAACATCGGTCCCTTCCCAAGAACCTGTTAGTATTATAGTTCCAATCATTTATGACATGGCTTCAGGTACAACCCAGCAGGCAGACATTCCCAGACAGCAGAACTCTTCTGTTGCTGCTCCCATGATGGTCAGCAACATTCTGAAGAGGTTTGCAGAGATGAATCCACCACGACAAGGTACATGACCAGTAGATGATTATTTTATTGCATATATGTTATCAAAGTTCTTTTGAGAGACACTCTCTTCCCTTCTCTTCTCCTTCCTTATCCACTTCACTCCCCAAATCTAGTAATAGAGCTTTGGTTGCTGTGGCCCTCTTAATGTCTGCCTGTCGCTTTCTTCCTTTTCTCACTGGTTCTTCATTTTTGTCCATTTCTCTGCTGCCTGGACTTTATTTTGTTAGTGATTTACTATTAGGATTGACCCAGTTGCTAATGCCAGAAGCTTGTATTTATAGCATACATTGCCACAAAGCCCTAGGTTAGGATGATAGAATTTTCCATGGCTGTGAATTCCTGCCCTACCATCAATGCCTGCCACTCTGTACATCACAAAGTTGAAATGCATGTTGGTTTCTCATATTTCATGGTTCAATCATGAATAGAATAATACCATTAAAAGTTCTGTATCCTCTAAATGTTTTGTGAAGAATAAAAGCTGATACAAATGGCATCACTGCTTTTTTGGGCTTCTTATATAAGTGTCAGGCGGGTGCAAGTGAACCTTTTCACCAAGTGCACAATGAAGCTCTCAAACTGAACATTTCCAAGGAAACTAGAAAGATAAACAAGGTCCCTTCAATACTGGGGTAGCCTACACTTAACATGTAACTCCTGGCAGCGCTAAATTTGGGGTTACAAAAGATAAAGCTTGGCAAAGAGAACTTTGCTTCCATTTTACTCATTGCTAATAGTAAGGAAATTTAGATTAAATTTTTCCTATTTATAATATTAAGGAAGTTCTCTATATCTCCATTTAGAATAGTTTGATAACAACAGAATTATATCTTTAAATGAGGGAAAGTTGTTCTCTGAAACATTTTCAAAATTTTCCTAGAGATTACAATATGAGAGAAATGTTATTTTTACAAAACTGTTTGTTTCCCCCATATTCTATACATAAGGCAAGTTCTCACTTATAAGGAATATACTGGGCAGTAGAGAAGGGTATACTTCTTTTGTTGTAATACTTCTTCTACTTCTTAAAATTGCTTTCATCCTTTGACTTCTTTCTTCTTTCAGCTAAAACTAGTACTCAAAAATCAAAGTTTAAAGCTGTAAGAATTCTCAAAGTAGCCGTCTAGTAGAACTTTGATAATAAACATCATTCCTTCACAAGCAGATAACTATTATTATCGTATTATGGGGTTTTATGTATTATGACTTACGGAACTTAAAATTTAAAGGAAATTTTTATTTATTTATTTTTGAGACAGAGTCTTATTATGTCACCCTTGGTAGAGCACTGTGGTATCACAGCTCACAGCAACCTCAAATTCTTGGGCTTAAGTGATTCTCTTGCTTCAGCCTCCCAAGTAGCTGGGACTACAGGTGCCCACCATGACACCCAGCTATTTTTTGGTTGTAGTTGTCATTGTTGTTTGGCAGGCCCAGGCTGGATTCAAACCTCCCAGCTCTAGTGTATGTAGCTGGCGCCCTAGCTGCTGAGCTACAGGTGCCAAGGAAAATGTTTTGATCCTATTGGAATCAAGCAAGTTTTACTACCAATAATGAAAAAAAAAATTTTTTTGCAGTTTTTGGCCAAGGCTGGGTTTGAACCCGCCACCTCTGGTATATGGGGCCGGTGCCCTATTCCTTGAGCCACAGGCACTGCCTATGAAAATGTATTAGTTAATGTATCCTTTTATTTAAGAAATTGAGATATTTTGGAAATGTTTTCTTTTTTTTCTTCCATTGGGCTGGGCAAAGGATTTTTCTTACTTTCTGCACCTTAATTTTCCAACAGTTGGGAGAGAAGGCTAGCAGCAACTTGCACAGGATCACTGTGCATCCTGCCTTTCATTGGAAGGCCATGATTCACAGGAGGTCTTCAGTCTCCCACTTTTCGCCATTGTAGTGTTAGACCACGCTCTGATGAAAGGGATCCAGTTTTTGGCTTACAATATTTAAATATTTGTAATATTTACTAGAAGCAAGAGGCAGAGTATTAGGTTTCTTTGAGCAAAGGGGAAATTGAGAGGATGAATCATCAGAACCCTTCCCACCAACAATTTTTTTTTTTGCAGTTTTGGCCAGGGCTGGGCTTCAACTCGCCACCCCCAGTATTTGGGGCCAGCGCCCTACTCCTTGAGCTACAGGCGCTGCCCCCCACCAGCAAATCTTGTATTGAATTGTCAGTGTACCATACTTGAGCTTCCCTCCCTCCTCCCACTCCCATCACTTCCTCCTGGTGAAGTGCTTTTAAGAAAAATTTTTTTGGCCAGGTGTAGTTGTTCATGCCTATAATCCCAGCTCAGGAGTTCAGGACCAGCCTGGCAAGAATGAGACCCCATCTCTATAAAGAACCAGCTGGGTGTTGTGGCAGGTGCCTATAGTCCCAGCTACTCCAGATAAAGTAAGAGGAGTGCTTAAGCCAAAGAGTTTGAGGTTGCTGTGAGCTATGACACCATGGTACTCTGTCCAGGGAAACAGACTGAGGCTCTGTCTCAACAACAACAAAAAAAAAAAAAGAAAGAAAGAAAAATTTTTGCCTGGGCAAGGTGGCTCAGCTACTTGGGAGACTGAAGAGGATTGCTCAAGCTCAGGAGTTCAAGGCTGCAGTGAGCTATGAGTGTGCCACTGTACTCCAGCTTAGGTGACAGAGTGAGACTTTGTCTCTTAAAAAAAAAATTAAAAAATATATATTTTTTACATTTAATTGATTTTAATGTTGAACTCCAGAAGTTGACCATTTCCTTGAAATTTGGGAGAAAACTCCAGTAGCTGTCACTGACTTGCACTGTCCATTATGTGTCACTAGCCACATGTGGCTTTAAATTAAGTTAGATTTTAAATTCAGTTCCTCAGTCAGACTAGCTGCATTACAAGTACTCGATAGCCATGGTGCACATATACAACATTTCTGTCATCCCAAAAAGTTCTATTGGACAGTGCTATCATAGACATTTTTATCTAGCCTTTAATGTAACATTAGAAGGACACCATTGAAGTTGTAATGCATAAATATAAACTAGATCTCTTCATTAGATGCAAAATGCATAAGCAATCATTAGCCTTAAAGCCCAACTTCAAAGGTTTATCCAATGCTACTGTTTCTAAACAGAAACTCTAGGCATATCTTCTTAAATTCAAACCTAACTGGGACTTGCCCAAAATTTCTCCTTGAGAGAAAAACAAAACTCAAACCAAATATAATCTGATATTTAACACCACAGCTTAATTCCCTATAATCTGGGCAGTTAAAATTGTTTTATTTTGATCTTTAAAGTTCCTACTAATTTTAGATTTAATTACCCCTTCCCCAACCGGTGTGTTAACATCATCTTTCCTGTATTGCGAATAGCTAATACCATTTTTCTCTGTTGCAGGTGAATGCACAATATTTGCAGCTGTTCGTGATTTAATGGCTAATCTTACACTGCCCCCTGGTGGGCATCCATAGACACTATTGTTTTTAAACCAGGGAGGCTGACAAATGAGACAAAACAACAAAAAAAAAAATCTGAAATCAGCCTTCAGTTTAAAAAAGAAAAAGGACTTTTTTGACTTTAAGAGCTAAATATTCTAAACTGGCAAATATTTTCAGGGTGCACTTCTTTCATCAAAAAGACCATCAATCTTTTGTATAGTGAACTTGTATAGTGTGTTTAAGTGGGGCACATTTCAAACTAGGTAATAAATTGGTGTCCGCTTGCCAGTGATAGATTTAATATTGTTTTATACTATAAAGTTATGAAATGCCAATCTCATTTTATTTAATTGTTTTCTTATGTTTGGGGTGTAATAGTCCTTTTTTTGGTTTTTGTTTTGTTTTTTAAGGCAGGTCTGTCATTTTTGAATACTGTAAAACTGTGATAAACTTTATATTGAAGCTGTATTTTAATATGACCACTTTGAATCCTTACATGAAAATGTTCTGGGAGTTGTTATAAACACATCCCAAAGAAGCAATATTTAATAAAACTAGGTTAAACACAAAAAACAAAAAAAAAACAGTGACACTCACTTGTGTGTATATAAAGCTCTATACACTTCTTAGGGCTTCCCTTCATCTTTAACCTGGTCGGACCAGTAATTAATTTGTAGTAATACATACGTGAAATTTGATCAAAAGCATCTGCTTCTTTGTTTTAAGTTAATTTATTTTCTTGAAACATTCCTAACTTGACTAGTGGTTAATGTTTAGCACTTCAGTTGTCTTTCAGTGTAGGATTTGGGTTAAAAAGAACGAACCTAGTCTTTAAGAAGAGACAGTAAGTGGTTCATGTTGATCAAGGATCCCAAATAATGCTATTATTCTCATCTATTGGGGATGTGGGAACTTTTCTTTTAGGTAAATCCAGTTTATAGGATAATTCTGCATACAACATTAAGTACAAAACAAAGAACTTTAATGTTCTACCCTTGCATGAAGTTTCTGTGACATTTCTTTATCTTGCTCAACTTCTTGCTTTCCCCACCAAAATTGGGGTTGTTCTAAACAATCTCAATTTAATTCATTGTGAATAAAATGATAGAATATTTTGCTTGGAGGAAACCTGGTCCAGTCCCCTCATTTTGAAGAATCCAAGATCCAGGGTCTGTTTAGGGTCAAAAGGAATTTGGGGTACTGACACATCTCAGCAGAGTTTCTTTTTGAAGCACCATGCTGTCTCTCCCAATTAGGGACTTTTTAAGCTTCAAGGAACAGGATCTGATGCAGAGGTCTTCTAGTGACTTGTGATTTGGAAATGTTTTTTAAAATTATAATACCATGATGAGTTATCTAGTCACTGTAATACTTGTTCTCTATTAAATTGTAGATGCTTTGTCTAATTCCACTTTAAGATGATTTAATTGAGCTTCTGTAACTGTCAACTACCAAATTCTGGTTTCAAAAATCTCACTGCAACTATATCATATCTGTTGTCAACTTTGCTTGATTCTCATTTTCAATGAGAGTTGAGCCCTTCTTTGCCTTTCTTCTTTGTCTTATGTCTCCCTTCATCTCCTGCTTCTCACCCAATTCTGCCACCATTCAGAAGCAGGTGACTAAACTTTATCCTTCCTTTAACTTTTTTATCCTTCTGTTTTCAGTTCACCTTACAATGGTAATCACATCAGTTTGACAATCTAAAATGTCTTTATCATGTGTCAGCCCTTTTCTGTTTGGAGCTGAATCCTTTTCTTTCATGTAGAAATCTACATGCATATACAAGAAATGTATTTTTATCTGCAGGATGATATTGTTTCATATTTATTTAATGGAATTAACTTTGAAGATATTTTCTCTTTTACATGTGGTTTTGAAATGTTAATTGCATTTTTACACATAGTGCATTCAGTGGACATTCTTCCTAATTATAACTCATCTCTGAATGCATTGTGCAAATCAAGATAGGACTCCGTCAACAGAATTTGCTTTTGGTGCTTATTAAGAGTAAACCCATGAATTTGAACTTTGAACTATTATGCTTGGTACTTGGAATTGGTATATATTTTATTAAAGCTTGAAAACATTTAGCATTTGAATCAAATTTCATCGCAAACCATGTCTTCTGCCTCTTTTGTTACCCAGGTTCAATCAAAGAACTGGATGCCCGTAGTGACTTTTCCCTAATAGATGATTTGGGACTTTGAGGTGTTTTCAATGTGATTTTAGTATTTACAGTAATAAATAAAATCTATATAAGTTTCAGAGAACTACCAACTCTCTCTAGTTAATTTTCATGAGGATATTCTGGATGAAAGTCTGGTTTAGTATTAAACCTTGAAAGAGGAAACTGGTTCTGATTTGCCACCTATATGCTGAAATACCATTTCAGAATCAGAGGATTAAGAGGGAAAGCTTTAACAGAACATATCACGTTATTAATAACAGGGGCTGAACCTTATGTTTGAAAATTAGCTCTGAGTGTAGGCATAAACTAAAATATACAACATGACTTTGAATTTAAATATCACTAATAACTTCACTGTGTTATAGTTAACACAGTAATCTGTTCAGCCCCAAGATAGTAACATTCTTTGGACTGTGGTTAATTTGTTAACTTTAAGAAGTTACAAATTTGCTGCTCTGAATTCTAATCCAACTTCAGTATAAAAAAATTATTCCTTTCATGTTTTTCTCCAAAGGAAATACACATATTTATCATCCAAGTGTTCTTGATGCAAAGTCAATATGGGGAAAATTTTAAGAGAACTTACATTCAAGGGATGGAAAAGGAGAAATGTTAGTGTATATTTCATTATTTCTTATGGACACTTTTTTCATTTGGTTTGATGGGAATCAACAGTTTGTCTAAGGGTATGGTTTTAATTTACTTAGGATAGATTTAGTATTGAGGTTATTAAGACAAAGTTAGCAGAGGCCAGCCAAGCACTGTGCTACACAACTCCAAGAATGCCATGATACATTCACAATTTTCTAGAAATTGTCTCTACTTCCAAGTGGCCAGTGATTTGCTAACTACCTTACCCAAGAATATATGACTGACTGATGAAAGGGTATATTTAGGCCAATATGAAATAACAACAGCTAAATAACTAAGAACTTACTGTGTGCCGGGCACTGTCTAATGATTTCAATGTGTGTGTAAACCTCCCAACCCTATGAAGTAAGTATTAATATCTTCTTTTTACAAATGATAAAATGAGGCCCAGAGAAATGATTTTTTTTTTTTGACACAGAGCCTCAAACTGTCGCCCTGGGTAGAGTGCTGTGGCATCACAGCTCACAGCAACCTCCAACTCCTGGGCTCAAGCGAATCTCCTGCCTCCACCTCCCAAGTAGCTGGGACCACAGGCACCCGCCACAACGCCTGGCTATTTATTTTGGTTGCAGCCATTGTTGTTTGGCAGGCCCAGGCTGGATTTGAACCCACCACCTTAGGTGTATGTGGCTGGTGCCTTAGCCACTTGAGCCACAGGTGCCAAGCCAGAAATGATTTTCTTGAAATCAAATTGATTGCTTAAGATCAAACTGCTAAGGGGAAATTTAGAGGTACTGCTCCCTAAAATACCTTTCTGCTGTGAACCATACAGTCAGGGGAAAGCTTCAAGTGTTTTAAACTTTTCCCTTGGGGCCTTTTTGACTTGACACAGTTTTGACTTGTCCAAGCTCAAAAAGTTCACTAGAAGTAACTAAAACTGACCTGATCTCTTGTCACTTGGAGCTGACAGTCTAATGCCTTCTGACCTCTGCATCACTTATTTGGAACTTAAATGAGACTACTTTGTTCAAGAAACACTAATTATCATATAACCAAGAGTACTAGATAATCATGACCTAACCTTCACTCTGTGCTCTAGCATGTTCTTACCTGGCTTGGGGCTGTGCAGCCCTCCAGAATCCAAGTGATGGTGTTGTCCTGTTTGCAAGGTGTAGGCCCAGTGGCAGAGAGATTTTTGAGCTTTGTGTCAGCTTGGCACCCTGCAGGCACATAATGATGGGAGGTACACTAATACCGTGATTTGCTGTAGCTACTCAGTGTGTGGGCTTAGGAACCAGTTAAGTTTATAGAATTGTATAATACTAAGAACAGGCAATTCAGGAAATGTAGCCCAGCGTGGTGGTGTGCACTGGACTATAGTCCCAGTTACTCCAGAGGCTGAGGCAGGAGGATCGTTTGAGCCCAGGAATTTGAGGTTGCCGTGAGCTATAATGCCACTGCACTCTAGCCAGGGTGACAGAGCAAGAGCCTCTCTTAAAAAAAAGTTCCTTGAGGGTGGCGCCTGCTGCTCAGTGAGTAGGGCCCCAGCCCCATATACCGAGGGTGGTGGGTTCGAACCCGGCCCTGGCCAAACTGTAACAAAAACAATAGCCGGGCGTTGTGACAGGCACCTGTAGTCCCAGCTACTCGGGAGGCTGAGGCAGGAGAATCCCCTAGGCCCAAGAGCTGGAGATTGCTGTGACAACACAGCACTCTACCGAGGGCAATGAAGTGTAAGGTGACCAGATTTTAACATTGGTAAAGGGGGACACCATTGACAGGGGTGGGGGGTTGTCTTAATTAAAAATTTGGTCTATATGAAGCAACAAAAATTTTCAAAGAATGCAAAAATAGTATTGTAATATATATATTTTAATTTCAACATAAGTACAATTTACAAATATAATACATTAAAAAGAAAATTATGTATAGGGCGGCGCCTGTGGCTCAAAGGAGTAGGGCGCCGGCCCCATATGCCAAAGGTGGCGGGTTCAAACCCAGCCCTGGCCAAAAAAAAAAAATATGTATAGTATTTTATTCTTTGGCATATTTCTCATTTGAGCGAATTTTTTTTTTAGTAGATTCCACCTGGGCGACATTGCCCAGGAGGGGAGTAGGGAGTTTACATTAGCCTTCTCATTTCCAAATGAAGTTACATTAACCTCTTCATTCTCAAATGGAGTTACATTAACTTTTCAGCAGCCGAAAACCGTATATTCGGCTCGGCGCCTATAGCTCAACCGGCTAAGGCGCCAGCCACGTACACCTAAAGTGGCGGGTTCTAATTCCCAGCCCGGACCCGCCAAACAACAATGACGGCTGCAACCAAAAAAAAAAAAAAAATGGCCAGGCGTTGTGGCGGGCGCCTGTCGTCCCAGCTACTTGGGAGGCAGAGGCAGGAGACTCGCTTGAGCCCAGGAGTTGGAGGTTGCTGTGAGCTGTAATGCCACGGTACTCTACCCAGGGGAACAGCTTGAGGCTCTGTCTCAAAAAAAAAAAAAAGAAAACCGTATATTCCCTTCCCATTGTCCCGCTTGTCGTGCATTCTTTCCCAAAAATCGGGACATTTTTTAAAACGCCGCGGGACAAATTGTTAAAAAGCGGGACGTCTGGTCACCTTAATAAAGTGAGACTGTGTCTCAAAAAAAAAAAAGTGCCTTGAGCACCTTCTACATCTCTTAAGATAAAAAAACGGAGTTACATACGTCAGGAGAGGAAATCAAACCGGGGTCGGGATCTCACTTTGTAAGACAAAGCCTAAGGTTTTCAGGTAGAGGTCACCTGGGCAAGCACCAAAGTACTTAAACAGCTGCAGTCCCTTAATGGGGGTGGGACCGACGTGTCTCGGAAGCCAAGACGCCCCGCCCCGGGGACAAGGGCGCATGCGGGGTTCTCCTCCATTCCCGCCTCTGGGCGGGGCCGCGCCGGCGCCCGCGCTACTGCCTCCGGCGGCTCCCAGGCTCCCGCGCCTGCGTACTACCGTCAGCCACGCCCCCCGCCTGGCTACCTTCCGGGTGCGCGCTGAACATGGTGTTGTCTGAGCTGGCCGTGCGCCTTAACTGCGCGGAGTACAAGAACTGGGTAAAGGCAGGTCACTGCCTACTGCTGCTTCGCAGCTGTCTGCAGGGCTTCGTCGGCCGCGAGGTGCTCTCCTTCCACCAAGGCCTGCTCACTGCAGCTCCCGGCCTGGGCCCCCGCGCCGCCTGCAGCGGGGGTTCACGATGCAGCCCCCGCGCCCGCCAGGTGAGCACCTGGCTGGAGGCCCTGACTTTCGCCCTCACCCCACCCCATCCTGTCCCTGTTCGAGTACCTAAACGCATTACACCGTTCCTTCCGCGGGGCGGGGCCGGCTACGACGCCCCTCCCTGCTGGGTCCTCTTCACTGCCTTCCTCTGTAGTTTCAGCCTCAGTGTCAGGTGTGCGCAGAGTGGAAACGGGAGATTTTGAGACATCACATCAACAGAAACGGAGATGTATACTGGGGAAACTGCCGGCCAGGCCGCTGGCCTATCGACGCCTGGGAGGTGGCCAAGGTAAGCACCTGCAGCCGGGATGGGAGGAGGCGACAGCGAGTCACCTGGGTGCCCGGAGATCTAGTCTTGTAAAGTCGGGACCTCATTGACAGAGATGCAGAGAGGGAGATTGGTGGGTTGATTAAAGGTAGTGTGTAGGCGGTTCCGGTCTGTTATAATGGACTCAACTCAGTGAAGTAGAAGTTTGCTTCTACCTGTCCGCTTCCTGAAGGCATTTGAGTTTGCTACCCTTGCTTGCAAAATTGTAGGAAAGATTTCTACAAGTGATGCTGGGGGCAAGTATCACGAACATAGGCATAGAGGGAGAATCTTGTAAGGTGTGTTTGAGGGTGGGCTCGCTGAATAGCTCATTTTGACAGCAAGGTTCCATTAGTATGGTGGAGTAAACCAGCAAAAGTTAGGACTAAAAGAGAAAGGATCTTAAGTGCCCAACTAAGGAATAAAACTTTGGGGAGGTAGGGATGGGATAGGCAGCCAGATCTGTCTTCACATCTCAGCAATGTGACTTACTAGCTGGACCCATTGGGAAACTTTTTTGACTTTTTGATGTTTGCCAGAAGCCCAGTAGGGAAGGGGGAGGAGCAGTCAGAAGTGCCTTCCTGGCTCGGCGCCTATAGCTCAACCGGCTAAGGCGCCAGCCACGTACACCTAAGGTGGCGGTTCGAATCCCCAGCCTGGACCCACCAAACAACAATGACGGCTGCAACCAAAAAATAGCCGGGCGTTGTGGCGGGCGCCTGTGGTCCCAGCTACTTGGGAGGCGGAGGCAGGAGACTCGCTTAAGCCCAGGAGTTGGAGGTTGCTGTGAGCTGTGATGCCACGGCACTCTACCCAGGGGGACAGCTTGAGGCTCGGTCTCAAAAAAAAAAAAAAGTGGCTTCCTAACACAAATTGACTTTTGAAGTCAATCTCCCTGCTTGTTAGCAGCAGGCACAGGTGGGCACCTGGGAAGGAGCAGTGTTAGGGAAGCAGGTGATCTGAGTTTGGCTCAGCTGCTGTGATGTGACATTGGGCCAGCCTCTGTTACCTAACCTCAAAAATGAGGAAACTGAGGGGGTAGGAGATGGGCGAAAACCTATCTAATAGGTACAATGAACACTAGCTAGATGATGGGCACACTTATTCTCCTGACTCAAACATAGCAAAATCCATACATGTAGCCAAAAACATTCTTACCCCCATAATATTTTGAAATTAAAAAAAATGAGGTAATTGGACCGTATCAGTGGTCCCTAGATTTTTGGCTACCACCTACACCTTCTACCCAATTTTTTTTTCATTGCTGCCATATTGTTGCCAGCTTCTACTTTTTTTAACCTAGAAAAGAGAAATGACTTAAACAAAACTCTACCCTTTACTGTGACTATCCCTTACCTGTTTGCAGAGGGCTATCCTCCTGGGAATCCTCTTGAAACTTGCTTATGCCACTCTTTCCTCCTCTTGGTTGCCATCACCTGCATACTTTCTAATCCAACCCCATCCTCTCAGTTCCTGGGGTCCCTATTCTAGCATCCTCTGCTCCACACCACCTCAACCTCCCATTTACATGCTCATTCCCTAGACCCTGTCAGCACAGGAAGTCTCAGTATCTAACATCCTACTTGCCTTTGGCACCTGCCCCCGCTCTTTGTCCCTGTACTACTTTTTTTCTTTGAGGCTTCCACTGCCACCCCAATACCCAGAAGCCTTGACCCTCCTGCCTACCTTTGTCACCTATCCAGCTCAGATGGATACTATGGCCCATTATTAAAGTCAGTCCCTTGCAGTTATCTCGGCTTTTTTTCTCCTTTCTCTGAATTTGCCTGGCCCGACTCTAGCCCTGATGACATCATCATCTGCTTTTGCTCAGAATCTCACGAGGGAACTGACTGGTTTCACTTTCATTCTTGATCATGGAGCCCCAGTGATTTGGCCACTTCTCTTTCTCTCTCCACTTCTATTCCAGGAAGCAACTGTTTCTACCTTTCCTTGCCAAGCTTCCACTTCCATTCCTCCACCCTCATTCCCAGCTGTTAACCTTGCTCACACTTCATGGAGTTTGGTGGTTGCCCCAGCCCAGACACATGCAGTCGTCCCTCTGTATCCAAGGGGGGTTGATTCTAAGACTGCCCCTCTAATAGCAGAATCAGTGGATGCTCAAGTCCCTGATATAAAAAGGCTGAGTATTTGCATATAACTCAGGCACATCCTCCCATATACTTTTTAAATCATCTCTGGATTACTTATAATACCTAACAATGTACATGCTATATAAACTGTTGCTATACTATATGTATTTTTAATCTATATTTACTTTTTCTTATTGTACTGTTATTTTTTCCTGAACATTTTTGATACCTGATTGGTTGAATCCACAGATGCAAAACCTATGGATATGGAGGGCCAGCTGTACTTCCTCATTTTTAGCCAAACCTACCAACTTATCTCTATATGTACCATCTTTTTTCATCTGCTACAGAGGAGGAAAGATGCCTCTCTATTATTGCCCTATACCTCCATTTGTGTGTTGGATCTTATCCCTTTCCACCTGCCCAAGGAACTATCTACTCTTCCTCCCTGCTTAATCCCATCATCATATAGAAAGCTTTAATATAAATAGTGCCTTGATTTATTTCAGTTTTTTAAAAGAAAGAAAGGATTAAATAGTTACCATATGACCCAGCAATTCCACTCCTAGGTATATACCGAAGAGAAATGAAAACTTACATCCACTCAAAAACGTGTACACAAATGTTCATAGCAGCACTATTCACACTAGCTGAAAGGTACAAACAACTTACATTTACGTCAGCTGATGAATGGTTTTTTAAGAAATACAGTATATCCATACAATGGAATATTACTTTGCCATAAAAAGGAATGAAGTACTGATACATGTTAGAACATGGATGAATCTTGAAATCATCATGCTAAGTGAAAGAAGCCAGTCACATATTGTAGGATTCCATTTATACAAAATGTCGAAAATTGGCAAATCTACAGAGGCAGAAGTAGATTAGTGGTTGCTAGGGCCTGGGGGATGGCAGCTGATGAATAGGGGGTTTCATTTGGGGGTGATGAAAATGTTCTAAAATTCACTATGAGGATAGTTGCACCACTGTGAATATATAAATACCACTAGTATACACTGTGGAAGAGTGACTTATATCTCAATAAAACTGTTTTTTAAAACACTTGAATAAATACTTAGAAAATAAGATTTAAAAAAAGACTTCCCTCAATTCATTTCTTTCTTTCTTTCTTTTTTTTTTTTTTTTGTAGTTTTTGCAGTTTTTGACTGGGTCTGGGTTTGAACCCGCCACCTCCGGCATCCTCCACCTTTGAGCCACAGGCACCACCTACCTTAATTCATTTCCTCCAGCTTTCTCCTCATTTTTTTTTTTTTTTTTTTAGACAGAGCCTCAAGCTGTCCCCCTGGGTAGAGTGCCGTGGCATTACAGCTCACAGCAACCTCCAACTCCTGGGCTGCCTCAGCCTCCCAAGTAGCTGGGACCACAGGCGCCCGCCACAATGCCCAGCTATTTTTTGGTTGCAGCCATCATTGTTGTTTGGTGGGTCCGGGCTGGGGATTCGAACCCGCCACCTTAGGTGTACGTGGCTGGCGCCTTAGCTGGTTGAGCTATAGGTGTCGAGCCACCTCCTCATTTTTTTTTTTAATCAGCCTTTCATACACATACCAAGCCAAGCTTCTCAAAAAGAAGTTTGATACCTTTTCTCTTTTCCTCAGATTCTACTTACTCTGCAACCCACTCCATCCTGGCTCTGCTCCTGCCACTCCACTATACCTGCGACCTTCAGTTGTCTGGCCTTATTCTTCCCTCTCAGAGGCATTCAGCACTACTGGTGCCTCTTCTTAAAAAACTTTCCTGGCTTTCTGCCCATCTCCATGCCTTTTGTTCAGCCTCCTTATGAGTATCATTTAGCCTCCCTTGGGACTCAGGGCTGGGGCTCTTCTGTCCTTCTGTCCTCCTTTTCTCTGGTGATACTACCCGGGCCCATGGAGTTAAATACTCCCTTTATGCTCATGGCTGCCAAATCAGTGCCCCAGCCCTACCCCTCTCCTGAGCTCCAAATGTACATGTCCAACTGCTTACTTGACCCTCCCTACCAGCTTCTCCACAGCACTTTTTATTTATTTCCAAAGTAGGACTTTTTATCTCGACCCCCACCTCTCCAGAAGCATTATTCTTTCATTTCTTTCCCTCTTACTACCTGCCTTATATATACCTGCAAAATAATTTTGGAATCCTCTCCTCCATCTCCACATCACAGTTCTCACCCTCTCCTGCCTGGCTTTGGGGACCTCTGGTTGGTTCTTCACACAGCAGGATGTGCGGGCTTCAAACAGGAATCAGATCGTTTCATCCCCTTGTCCAAAACCCTTGGGTAGCTTCCTGATGGCCTTAGAGTAAAGTCTGCACTCCCAGAGGAAGGGAGCTGATAAAGCTCAGCATGACCGGACCCCTGTTTATTTCTCCTGCCTTGTCTCCTCCTACTCAGTGAAGAGACACAAGAGGTTAGAGAGAGAGAGGCAGTAACATGTTCCTCTCCACTGCGTGTTTGCTGTGTGGGACACGTAGTGTGCAGTACAATTTTAAGAAACTTACTTCACTGCAAGGAGGCAGTAGAGCCTCCCTGCTGGCTTCTACTTCTGAAGAAAGGGAGTAATTACTAAAATAAAACCTTAACATGGAAGAGATTGATCTTGGTGAGAAAATGCCAGAGAGGACCTGCCTTAGAATGGAAAGGAAAAATGATGCCTGGTTTGGAGACACTTAAGGCCCCTCTAACTTCACATGTTCTTCTCAGCAGCAGGTGAATTAAGCAATATTTGCGTTAGTTTGCCTGTGGTAAGTTAGCCTCTTTGTTAACCTTTGTAGCACCCCGTACTAGGCTTCTCTCAGAGGGTTGGCAGTGTCGGTAGCTGTTATGGCATGGGAAGATCGTGATGGTACTGTCTACTTTACCTTCTGATAGGGGCCACTTAGCATCTACCAAGTTTTTCTTAGTTACATGAGGCTCAGGTGTATAATTCTACCACCATTGGGAACATAGCCCTAAATCTCCTTGGGGTACATCAGCACTTACCCCAGCCTTTTCAGAATACTGTTGTGAGCAGCCCTGTAGGAGCCCAGTAGTTGCTTATCTACTGAAATGTGTTTGCTTTCGATGGAACAGGTCGCTTTTATTTAGAGTTCTAATTATATGTAATTTTTTGTATGTCATCTGTTCTACTCCCTTGGCAGGAAAGTACCCATGAAATTCTTAGCCTGGTAAAGTTATTGCATCCAATGTAAGTTGGGAAATACTTTAGGAAAGAACTATGCCTAAGCTTTGCCAGAATACCATTTTGGGAGTCTGCGCCATAAAAATCCTACTAAAGGCACCATCATGCTAGATTCTAGAACAAGGTCCTTCTGGTATGTGCAGTATCTCAAATTCATAGGATTCCAGCTGTAACTCCTAGGTGGGTCTTTCTCACCTTGCACCATTGATGTGATAATTGCCAGCATTTATGGCCTGTTAATGAGCGTGTGTGGGGCACTGTGTTGGAGCTTTACCTGCATTCACTTATTTAATTCTCACAGCATCCTTTGAGGTAGATGAGAACAGTTATTCCCCATTTACTGATGAGGAATCTGAGGATAAGTAACTTGGCCAGGGTTACACATCTGACAAGTAGCAGAGCTGGCATTTGAACCCAGTTAGTTCTGTTGCACTCCTAAGCCCAAACTCTCAACTTAATACTACTGTACTGAGTTTTCTCAAGTCATTTAAAAAGTGTCCACTTTCGAGTAATTGTGTTATTTTTAAATCTTCTTCAGCAACTCAGCTAGTGAAATTTTTTTCTTTTCCTCTGAATGCTTCAGGAATTTGCGTGTCATTCTTGCACAGGGTTTATGCTAACCTTCTCTGTATTGCTTCAGTTTTGGTATATATGCTGCCAAAGCAAGCATGTCGGTCACTGGAATTTCAGTAAGGAAGCAAAAGGTGACATCCTACCTGTACTTTCTGCTTATGTGCCCTTCAGACAGGACAGAAAACCAGTTATGTCAGGTACACCTAATAGCAGAGGGATAGAGAAGCTCTTCAGATACTGCTCTTGGTCAAGGCTGTGACACTGGTTTCCCTGCTTGCATTGTGGACTCATGTGCCTCTAACTTGAAACCTCCGTGCGTAAGAGAATTTCAGCCAGTCATTATCTGGAAAATTAGCAAATAACTGTTGTCTCTCCAGCTCCTAGAGTTGGAGGAGACTCAGGTCTCTCTCCTGCCTCCTTGTACTGCAGGCCTACATGCCCCGAGGACTGACAGACAAACAAGGACCTGAAGAATGTGATGCAGTTGCTCTTTTAAGTCTTATCAACTCCTGCGATCATTTTGTGATTGATCGAAAAAAAGTCACAGAGGTAAGAGAGCTGTCAGAATTTGAAACCATACACTGAGTCAGTTGGGTGGGTACTGGGGACCAGCCGTGAAACACACTCTGTGATGCTAAGTCAGCCATGCAGCCATAGCATACAGTAGTTCCCCAGAATAGCAGGTGCCAAGAGAGTTTGACTTGTATCTACTTATCATGTATGCATACCATCTATAATAGATGTCCTCAAACAATGGCCCACGGGCCACATGCAGCCCACCTAGGACATTTATCTGGCCCAACGGGTGTTTTTGCCACCACTGCCTGTCCTGCTTAACAACCAACTCATCCAAATTATGCACATGATCCCAAGAAAGTTTTAGCCCATCTCATCTAAAGACCACCCTGACTGATTTTGTCACTAACAGAGCCTTTCTAAGGGGCCAGATACAGTGGCTCATGCCTGTAAGCCTAGCATGCCTGAGCTCCCAGGTTCGAGACCAGCCTGAGCCAGAGTGAGACCCTATCTCTAAAAATAGCCGAGCGTTGTGGCAGGTGCCTGTAGTCCCAGCTACTAGGGAGGCTGAGGCAAGAAAATCACTTAAGCCCAAGAGTTTGAGGTTGCTGTGAGCTATGGTGCCACGGCACTCTACCCAGGGTGCCAAAGTGAGGTTCTGTCTCAAAAAAATAGAGCTTTTCTGTGATTTTCTTTTGGAGTCACAAGATCTGTTTACCTGGCTGAGCATGGTGACTCATGCCTATAATCCTAGCACTCTGGGAGGCCAAGGCAGGTGGATTGCCTGAGCTCACAGGTTCAAGACCAGCATGAGCAACAGCGAGACCCTGTCTCTAAAAATAGCCAGGTGTTATGATGGGCGCCTTTAGTTCCAGCTACTTGGGAGGCTGAGACAAGAGAATTGTTTGAGCCCAAGAGTTTGAGGTTGCTGTGAGCTGTGATGCCATGGCACTCTACTGAGGCTGACAAGTGAGACTCTATCTCAAAAAAAAATCTGTTTACCCCATTGTTTGATTTTGAAGCCTTTTATCTTTTTATCTCTCTATAGTTGATTAAGTGTCGTAATGAGATTATGCACTCTTCAGAAATGAAAGTATCTTCTACATGGCTTCAAGATTTTCAGATGAAGATCCAAAATTTTCTGAATGAATTCAACAATATCCCAGAAATTGTGACAGTATACTCCAGAATAGAACAGGTAAAAGTCATATTTAATAATTCTGACATACAGAACCAAAGGGGAAAAAGTGACTACTCATTTAGAATTTTAAGTTTATTGGATTTAAACTAAATTTTAGAACATAAGCAGAGGAAAGTATGCTGATAGAAATCTGGAATTATACAAGGCCAGTAAGCTTTTCTATGGCCACAGTATGTTATTAATTAATAATGTTTAATTATAAGTTCTTTGAGTAATTCAGTGGACTATCTTTTCTATAAAATTGGTTCATATAAATATATCCCACCAGCTATTGACATCTGACTGGGCTGTTCACATCCCTGAGGAAGATCAGCGAGATGGGTATGAATGTGAAATAGAAACCTACCTAAGTGAGAGCCAAATTAATGAAATAGAGATGCAGTTACTAAAGGAAAAACTTCAAGAGATGTACCTTCAAGCAGAAGAACAAGAGATGTCGCCTGAAGAGGTAAAAAGAAAAACATTACATCATCTGTTTGAGTAAACAACACAAAGAAAGGTGCCAGGGAGAAAGAGTAGCTCATTTTAACATAACGCCAACTGTGCTTATGATTTATAAATCAATTTCCAGAAGTGAATATTCTTTTGGCACAGGTTAATGTGAAAATATTTTCACTTAATCAGGAAACATTTGAGTGCCTAATCTGTGCCATAAAGTAGAAAAGCATGGTAAAGGCACAGCAATTCTTGGGGAAAAAATGTGCTGGGGGGTTCTTCACTGGCAGAGGGGATTGCCATAAAAGGCTTTGCTGAGAAGGTGCTGTTGAGCTGAGACTCAAAGAAATCAAATAAGAGTTTGACAAATTGGGCTTGGCGCCTGTGGCTCAAGTGGCTAAGGCACCAGCCACATACACCTAAGGTGGCGGGTTCGAATCCCCAGCCCGGGCTCGCCAAACAACAATGATGGCTGCAACCAAAAAATGGCCAGGCTTTGTGGCGGGCGCCTGTGGTCCCAGCTACTTGGGAGGCTGAGACAGGAGACTTGCTTGAGCCCAGGAGTTGGAGGTTGCTGTGAGCGTGATGCCATGACACTCTACCCAGTGGGGATAGCTTGAGGCTCCGTCTCAAAAAAAGAAAAAAAGAGTTTGACAAATTGGCAAGTGAAAAAGGCCATTCTTGGGGCACAGCATTCACAAAGGCATGAAAGAGGCTTGACAGTGACAGGCAAGCATAGCAGGTAGTTAGGTGTGAGGGTGGTAAAGTAAGCTGAAGCCATATGTTGAAAGGCTTTCTGTGCCATGCCAAGTGCTTTGATCCTTATTCCCAAAAAGCAATAGGGAGCCGACAGATGATTTTAAGCAAGAAAGAGTGAAAGAATCAGATATGGCTTTTAGAAAGTTAATTCTTATGGCATTTGGGGGTTAGACAAGTCACCAGCAACTAGTGGTGAGGCTCTTCTAGTTGTGTGAGGGTGAGAGAGAGAACAGAAACTAAAGGATAGAGAAGAGGAGCTGATTCTGCCCAGGTAGACCTGATGGATCTTAGTGTCTGGTTAGATTACTAGGAGCATGACATTAGGGTATAAAAGGGTGGAGAGGGGTGGAGGTTTAAAGGCTCATCAAGGTTTCTAGCTTAGGACCTTCAGGGTAATGATGGTCTAATAGGAGGCTGGGTGTGGTGTCTCATGCCTGTAATCCTAGCACTCTGGGAGGCTGAAGCAAGGAAATGCCTTGAGCTCAGGAGTTGAAGACCAGCCTGAGGAAGAGGGAGACCCTGTCTCTACTAAGAATAGAAAAATAATTTGGGCTTTGTGGTGGGTACCTATAGTCCCAGCTACTCAGGAGGCTGAGGCAGGAGGATCACTTGAGTTCAGGAGTATGAGGTTGCATTGAGCTATGATGTTGCTACTGCACTATAGCCCAGGCAGTAGAATGAGACTCTGTTTCAAAAAAAGGGAAGGAAAGGAAAAAGGTAAATAATTTACACATACTTTAAAATCATTGCTGCTTTCTTAAACTTGGTGAGAGAACTCCTTTCACAGAGATCCACAGGGAAGCTTAGGGAAAAGGGGCAATGATAAAGTATACTCAGGGCCATTGGGAACAGGATAAAAAATGTCACTCCATTTGTCATATTTCAGAAATATTTATTGAGCACCTATTATGGCATGCATGAGTGAACAGAATAGACAAAGATCCCTGTAGTGGAAAACAGACTTCGAGCAGTAAACATAATAAGTAAGTGATAAGGTGCAGTGGAGGGAGAAACACGGTATAGAGCACAGTGGGGACAAGTGTCAGGTTGTAATATGGTGGTCAAGGTGGCCTCATCGAGAAGACTTAGCAATTCCTTGAAGTAGGTGAGGATTCCCCACGTATGTATCTGGAGGAAGTGTATTTGGCAGAAGGAACAGCAAGTTGAGAAGTGCGGCTGGAATGGAGGGAGGGAAAGAATAGTGGGTAAGGAGGTCAGCAAAATGAAGGGGGAGGAAGCAGGACTTCTGAGCCATTGCAAAGTCAAGGACCCTGCTGGCTTTGTGGTGAGGATGCCCTGTTGGTAGTGGAGGAGAGGAGCAGAGAGAGAAGCAAGGACACCTGGAATGAGGTCAGTGTCCAGATAAGAGATGATGGTAGTTTGGACCAGCGTGGAAGTGTAGACGTGGTAAGAAGGTGGGTGGGTGTGACATGACATGTGAAAGAAAGAGGTCAAAGACAAGGCCAGGAGTTTTGGCTTAAATGACTGGAAAAAGGAAGTTGCTGAGCATCTTTTGCCTAGAACAGTAGACCAGCAAGCACATAATAAATTATCAATAAATTTAAAATTTGTTAAATGTGTGAAGGATAAAAGGAATGTACCAGGCACAGTGCTAAATGCTTTTAGTAGATTATTTCTGGTCTTCCCAAGAACCCTTGGTGGTGTTGGTGTCATCCTTAATTTGCATACATAGCAATAAGCTCAGAGAGGTCAAATGTCTGCTCACTGTCACACAGCTAGTTAAATGACGAAGCTGGGCTTCAGTGTCCAAATCTGTGTGACTGCTTTCTATAATTTTTCCGATATTTTCCATTTTTCATTCTCTACTTCCTTTCCCCTCTTTACATATAAATGTGCGAAGCCTTCCCCATACTTAAAAAAATAACCTCCTTTTGACTGCCTCCTTCCCTTCAAGCTAAAATAATCGTCTCAGCCAGAGCATCTCTTAAAGCACATTTCAAGGGCAAGTGCATTTATTGCTTTTCACAAAAAGGAAAACTGAAGTTCCAACAAATGTCAATTATGGGGCACTCTTATTGGAGACAATGAGAAAGAATGGTGACTGGGAATAGGAAAAAACTGAAACTTAAACAAAGGAAAAGAAACTAAGTGGAATAGAGAGCAAACTAGTTCTGAGAGTCTGCAGAGAGGGTCAGGAGGAGACAGCACAGGATCATCAAGTGGTAAAGTCTCCATCCTTGATGACTTGGGGGAAGGGGACCCCACTGAGGGCCAAAAGTCCGTCTGGAAGCATGTGCTATGATACAAAGACCTGACTAGTGCAGTCATGGGCATCTGATGGCCACAGGAAGACGCTGAGCTTTGCCTAGGACACCAAGCACAGTCAGTAAGAGCTAACAGTTACTAATGCCTGCTGTGGGTAATGTCATTGGAATGATCTTCATTTCACATTTCTATGATTTTCAGATTTATTATTTAAAGGTCAGGCATCTTGCAGAAGCTCTAGGCTGGTTTCCAGCCATGAAATAAACAGCTCCACCTGAGGGACACAGCCCTAGTCAACTTTACTAACTAATCTGAAGCCCTCTGGTCATCTTCAGCTCCTCCCTGTTCATCTGGCGCAGCCTCAGCCAGCCTTCCCTGTCCCTTCCAGCCCCATCAGCTATTGACCAGCATCCAGCAATTTCACTTGCCCACACAACAGTAACATGAGTACTTGCAGAGGCTCCAACCTAGACCTGGTCCCTAAGAATCAGTTCTGTACACCTGCTGGGGTAGGGTACCCCATCACTTTCGTCATTAGATAATCTTGACTTAGCTTGGACCCATTTGTAAACATTCACCACACCCTCAAAATATGAGTATCATGTCTTTGTAATAGGCATAGTAACCAGTGAGGGTATTCTAGGACAAGCCCCTTGAAAACACTTCCATAGTACTCTTCCATGAATACTTTTATTAACTTAAAAGATAAAGTATATTGCTAGAGGGAGTTTAAATTGGTACAATCTCTATCGATGGCAGTTTTGGCAAAATCTATTAAAATTTTGGCTTGGCGCCTATAGCTCAACCGGCTAGGGTGCCAGCCACGTACACCTAAGGTGGCGGGTTCGAATCCCCAGCCCGGACCCGCCAAACAACAATGACGGCTGCAACCAAAAAAATAGCCAGGCATTGTGGCGGGCACCTGTGGTCCCAGCTACTTGGGAGGCGGAGGCAGGAGACTCGCTTGAGCCCAGGAGTTGGAGGTTGCTGTGAGCTGTAATGCCACAGCACTCTACCCAGGGGGACAGCTTGAGGCTCTGTCTCAACAAAAAAAAAAAAAAAAAAAAAAAAAAAAATTTGCCAAAACTTAAAGCAGGATCGGAAATGAAATTGCATTTCCCTTCTAAAAACAGATCCTACAGACTTGTCCCTTATGCAAAATGACACACATACCAGGTTAGTTATTGTAGTGTTTTTTTTGTCTTAGCAGAAGGATCAAAATAATATGTTAGAATAGGAAATATCTATTACTGGAATGCTATTCCGGCATTAAAAAAGATAATGAGGCCACTTTTTATAATCTCATATATTGATAGAAGAGACCAGTGGTGTCTAGAATGCTGCCATTTGTGTTTTTAAAAATGTGTATATACACATGCTCACATGTAATGGCATAGAATAGCTCCGGAAACATAGGAAATTGTTCATTTGGGTCACCTCTAGGGAGAGGAGCTGGGTGACTAAGGACAGTTTGGAAGAGGACTGACTTTTTATCTTGTACGCTTGTGTTGATTTTGAATTTATTTATGCATGCATGCATGTATATGTATATTTAATAGTAATAAATGTATAGGTTCAAAGTGAAAGACCTTCATTTTATTTTTATATGTACACATGTACATATACAAATATATGGGGTATGTATGAAATGAAGCCTTTTCATACAAATGCAGGAGGTTTTAAAAGCAAAAACAGTGGCCGGGCATGGTGGCTCATGCCTGTAATCCTAGCACTCTGGGAGGCCAAGGCAGGTGGATTGCTTAAGCTCAGGAGTTCGAGACCAGCCTGAGTAAGAGCGAGACCTCATCTCTACTAAACTAGCCAGGCCCTGTGGTGGGTGCCTGTATTCCCAGCCACTTGGGAGGCAGAGACAAGAAGATCACTTGAGCCCAGGCGTTTGAGATTGCTTTGAGCTATGACACCACAGCACTCTCTACCCAGGGTGACAGAGTGAGATTCTGTGTCAAAAAAAAAAAAAGCAAAATAATTTGAGGAGATAAACAAATACCGCTTTGTTTGGTGCCAGAAGCAGTTTTACTGGATTGTGTTGTGGGTTTTTTTTTCCCTGAGTGGAAGATGCTTTTTTTTTTTAAAGAGTTTGTTTTGTGGCTCGGCGCCTATAGCTCAACCAGCTAAGGCGCCAGCCACGTACACCTAAGGTGGCGGGTTCGAATCCCCAGCCCGGACCCGCCAAACAACAATGACGGCTGCAACCAAAAAAAAAATAGCCGGGCGTTGTGGCGGGCACCTGTGGTCCCAGCTACTTGGGAGGCGGAAGCAGGAGACTTGCTTGAGCCCAGGAGTTGGAGGTTGCTGTGAGCTGTAATGCCACGGCACTCTACCCAGGGGGACAGCTTGAGGCTCTGTCTCAAAAAAAAAAAAAAAAAAAAAAAAAAAGAGTTTGTTTTGTTTTGTTTTTCAAACTTTAACTTGTCTGCGGACAGATGCCTATAGCCAAGATTCTGTCTCTTGGTGGACACATGAACAAGAAGCCAATCTTGGGGCTACTAAGTTCTTCATTTGAATTACAAGTCTTCTGTAAAATTGTCAAAGCTGCACGTTGTATGTTTTCTTCGTACAGATCTCAAATCAACTGGAAGTGGTGACAGAATTTCTGAGAAACAATGAGGATCTTAGAAACGGTCTTACAGAAGATATGCAGAAGCTAGACAGCCTCTGTCGGCAACATCAAAAACTGGATTCAAAGGAACCTGGGAGACAGACACCTGAAAGGAAGGCCTGAGGTGAGGTTAGGCATATCACGTTAAATAAGACCAGATAGCCTCATTGCTTTGATGACGGCTGCATTCTTTTGTGAGGCTGTAATGAACACACAACCATCTAATCTGAAGTTTCCCTATGTCCTTATTATTTCAGAGAAAGGACACTGAGTTTTGTGCTCTTCCTATAATTAATGGTTCTCACATCTGTGAAGTAATTTAACATCAGTTCCCTGACAGCTTTGTTTAGTCAAACACACCTGAAGTCACTGGTGCTCTAGAATTGAGCAAATCAACTTTATAGCATAATTAAGAAGCATTTCTACTGTAAAAAGATGCCATTGGTGCCCAGTTCTTACTGTGGCATTAATAGTAGCAATTGGCTAGTTTCCGTAAGGAAAACTTGTTAACATACTTAACTGTCTTCAGTATTTTACTTCCCCCCAAATAAAGAAAAATAAAATATTTTCTTTCCTTTTAGGTTGCCCTTCGAGAAAAATCAGGCATGTTTATAAAAGTCAGCATGGTTTCCATCTCAGATGCAAAAGGAAAAAGTTACCAAATGATTGTACCCCAACAAAAAGGAATTTTTATTGTTTTGTCCTGCACCTTCCTTTGACTCTTTTGGAGTATTTTTCTTTAATATTTAGAAACTTGGGGCTATATAATCTAAACCAATCCAAAAATATTAGATACTCCTGTACCCACACTTGTTACCATCCAGGGATCTTTTGCTATTTTAAAGATGAGTTTCTTTTCTGGTCCTAAACTATAGCTGCTTGACATATTAAAGGCTGTGTTTGACCTGACCTGTGCCAAAGGCCAAACACACCCTGCTCCCTCATTGGCAGACAATCCTATTCCCACTGCCTGCTACCTGCATGCTTGTAAGGATGTCCAAGGGTGGGCTGAGATTACTATAGAAGCCTTTCCTTTTTAGAAGGCAAGAAGAAAAATAGCCTGAAAGTGCATGTTCTAGCCACTTCCAATTAGCACAGAGTTCTTACTCCCAGGTTTGAGTAGCTCAAGGCTGATCAGTGAGGGGCTGCAGAATGGTGACTGCAGGCTAGGGTGTCCAGGGAAGCAGGGGTGTCAAGGGAAGGCGCCTCAGCTGACAGCTTATTTATGGTATACCTGGGAAAAGGAAACTCCCATGGTGGTCACGGCTATTTTTGTCCAGTTATATCCCCAGTGCCAAGCTCAGGGCCTGTCCCTCACGTGCCCAGTGAATGTTTCCTTGACTGAAGAGTCATCTGTTAGCCTAGAAATATTTGTTGGCCTAAATATCATTAGTTAGACTATTAACTAACTAATAATAGTTAGACTATTAACTTGTCCTTTGTTATGAAATTTAAGAATAAAATCTAAACTTTCTTATGGAAATTCAAAGACATCATTTTCTTTGAACAAATTCATGCTTACTTCCTTTATTTACCCAAAAAGCAATCCACTCCTTTCTTCATTCTGATTTCCTGAACTGTGCAACTTCAGCCCCATTGTATGCAGTGGTCTGTAGGGCCAGCCTCACTTTCACCTTCCCTTCCATCTGCTCACTTCCAAGGCTAGTGGTACTTAACTGGGTCACATTGCCTTTGGACCTTGAGGAACAGAATTGCCATGCTCCCCAGTGCCTGGAGAAATCGCCCCATTCCAAGCCCAAGTAAAAAACCTGCTTTTCCTATTCATCTACCCACCAAGGTTGTAATCTGTAGAGAATGGTCAGAGGGTAGGGGTATATTTGGTATATACGTTTACATTAAAATGCATTTAATATAATTTTTATAAAACCACTATGTGTGTACCAATGTGTCTACTTTCTGCGTTAATCTTTCCAGTTACTATTTTGTCTTTCGTCTTACATTTTCTCTGTCCCTTCATTTCATGAAGTTCCTTGAGAAGACTTCAATTGTAAAACAAGAAGAATTTTTATTCATTGTCTCTTTCAAACTAAGAAACTTAATGAAACATTTCCTAGCTTCTAGGTATGAGATACAAAACTTGGGATCACATAGAATCTTGATTCACTAACCAATTTAAGACCTAATTTGTAACTTTAGGAATTTGGGGTTCTAAACATTGCCATTTTAGACCTGTGTCTAGTTAGTTTTTCCTTATTTATCCAACAAGCATTTATCAACTCAATCATGTGCCAGACACTGAAGTAGTTACAAACATATAAGGATTTGTAGGGTGGGTGTGGATGACGGTGTACAGGCTGTCATCTTATTGCATTTTCCTGCTCTGATAAGGATATTGTTTGGAGAACTTTATACTGGCAACATTTCATTACATTTCATTGGAGAGAAGAAGACGTGTGCACAGAGGGTTTTAAAGCAAATGTATCCTATACAGAGACCTCAACCTGTGGTAGTTTCTTCACAAAACTGTACAGGTATATGTGCAAAAGGATACATACAACAGCACTGTTAACCAGCCATCGAGGGGATATTATGCAACTGTTAGTAAGAATAAGGTAATGCTGCAATGCAGTAATATGGAATGATCTGAGACAAATAAAAAAGCAAAATGTTTAACAATGTATAGCATGCTGTAATACTCTGTATTTTAAAATAACAGGTCTGGAAAGTTTTGTGCTTTTCCCAAGCTATTGTGCTCTTACCCCTGTGAGAAGAAGTAGGCTAGAGGGGATAATTAGAAGGAATTTGGCTTTTCTATTTTATATACTCCCATGTGAAATTTTTATGACAAACATGCACTTGTGTGTTTTGAAATTAAAATTTTTAATTTCAAAGTAATAAAGAGACATGAATAATGTAAATTCAGAGTGCAAGATGTCTGTGTCACATTTCCTTGAATATGCTATAGCCTGCATTTTGTAGCTCCACCTCCAGGGGCACTTGTGGATCATCATGGTCACAGGGAGAAGCCCAATGAGCGGACGATTTTCTGCACAAGGCAGTCTTTGTTTCATCGTGGAGTGCCTTATCCTTCATCTGGCAATATGATTTGTTCTTGACCTCTCCTGAGGACACAACATGTAGTTCATAGTTATGAAAGAATTAGAGGACAAAAATGGTTTTAGCCTTATAGTTGCAAAGATAGAAGGCAGTTCTTTGGATTTACCCTGTTCTTTACCAGGGATCTCAGATAACTTAAGGAGAAAGATATGACATATTAAACTCATAATAAGACACCTGGAATTCTGGGAGATGTACTAAAGTGTGTTGGTGACAAAAACCTCAGCTTCCCAGAGTGCTTGGATAACAGGTGTGAACCAATGTGCCCAGCCTGAAAGGTTCATTTTTATTTTTATTTTTTTATTTTTTGAGACAGAGCCTCAAGCTGTCATCCTAGGTAGAGTGCTATGGCATCACAGCTCACAGCAACCTCCCACTCCTGGGCTCAAGCAATTCTCCTGCCTCCACCTCCCAAGTAGCTGGGACTACAGGCCCCTGCCACAATGCCTGGCTGTTTTTTGGTTGCAGCCCTCGTTGTTTGGTGGGTCCAGGCTGCATTTGAACCCGCCAGCTCAGGTGTTTGTGGCTAGCGCCTTAGCCGCTTGAGCCACAAGCGCCGAGCCAAGGTTCATTTTTATTAAAGTATTAATTACTTACATGACTTGAAACACAAATATCCTAAGGGTTAGATGTCTTAGGCAGGCATGTTATGAATTAGATTTGGTAAGTGGAGCATTGCATTGGAGTAGAGGTGATGTAATCTTTTGGATAGTTTCTATACATTTGTCCTCTAAGTTACAAACTGCAGAGTGGTAGGAAATTATAACTAGAGATTACCTCCTTTTCCCTTACCACATTAATTAGAAACCTACCTGCTTTGAAATGTCTTCAACAGACAGTGGCCTTTTATTGAAATAGATTACAAAATACATTTTGTAAGGCAAGCCTCAAAATATATTAATTTTTACTCATGAAATGGTGAAGTGAAAAAGTCCTTTAGTATTTTAATAAAAATCTTGATAGGTTATGATTCATTTCATAACTAAGAACTAATTTTTATTACTGCATTGTAGTCTGAATCTAATATTATCTTCCACAGACTTCTCAAACCCATGCTGTATGTTAGATGCACATTTGTAATGACCACAGAATTTGAAGCATTTTTTGACATCTCTGTGGGAAAGTGGGCAATGTCCTTACATACTTTCATTACTATCAGGCATGACAGTCTTATTCAGAACCGTGTGTGGTAGCCAACCTTCAAGCACCTGCCTCCTGGTATTTCCACCTTCATATTGTCCTCCCACGGTGTACCAGGGTTAGTCTGTGTGAACATAGCAAAAGTGATGGTATGTCACTTCCAAGATTAGGATTTCCATTTTGGGCTGTCTCAAACATCACTCGGGGAAGCCATGTCATGTCACGAACAGCTCTATAAAGAGGCCTGGTTGAAAGGAACTGAACCCTGCAAACTGTATGAGGAACTTTAAGTGGATCAGCAGTTCCAGCTGACAGCTGAGTCTCTAAACCAGAAGCACCCCACTAAGTCACTCCCAGATTCCCTGATCCTCAAAAATTGTGAGAATTATTGTTTTAAGAGCTCTTAGGTTTTGGGGAGGTTTGTTACACAGCAATATTACTAATGAACTATACTTTCCCATACTTTGGGCTTGTCCCTCCCCCACAATGCAGAATGTGAAACAGAGACTATCTACAAAGAGGACTTCTGCTTAGATACCACAGAAAATAAAGGGAAGTCTTCCAGAGTTCTACTAATGAACCTGTTTATCCAAGAGCTGATGTCTTCAGAACCTTTCAGATAGTTGTTTGCAATTTCTTTGCATTTTAAATCTTTATCAAAAGCAGGGTTTAAGCACTTCTAACCACAAACATTGGAGTTCCCCAATAACCACTCTGGAACTCCCTGCATCCTCCAGAAGCAAAGACAGGGGAAAATTGAGTCAAATTCTAGAGGGCAGCCTCTGCTGTGGTGGTAATGGCCTCACTCCACCTTTTTCTTTCCCCCAGTAGGAAAAGACCCCAGACATTTTTGGTGTAGAGATCTGTGATTGTACCAAGCTTTAAGTCCTGTGTGATACTAACCAGCCTTCTCATGCTTCCTGGTTTAAGAAAAGGCAGTAGGCTCGGCTTCTATAGCTCAACCGGCTAAGGCACCAGCCACGTACACCTAAGGTGGCGGGTTCGAATCCCCAGCCCGGACCCGCCAAACAACAATGATGGCTGCAACC